AGGCTCGACGATATTTAGCCTACTAAAAAGCCCTTTACCAAGCATTCATAGGTACATAGCTCTAATTCAATAGTTATCTTTTCCCGCTTTTGAGCTGAACATATATTAACTTAAAACACTAACTATGACCAGCTCGGATAGCAGAGTAGATATCCTGCAGTTTAATGCAAATCACTGTATAAGAGCTATAGACCAACTTAAGATAGATACTATGGAAATTAAACAACGCATCACCTGCATCCAGGAACCTTATTATCTTAAAAACAAGGTTGTGGGATTCAGCATTAAAGATAATGTCATAGCATTCGAAACAAAACCCAGAGTCGCAATGGTAATTCACGATAACTTTTGCGATGCATTTCCTATTACCGTAGCGAGAGATCTGCTAGTGGTCCGCTGTAACACAGAAAACCAAACGTTTGTGCTAGCAAACGTTTATATACCACCTGATGACGACATAACACCTTGGCTGCAAATAATCACCGAAGTAGTAGAACAGCACAAATCAGAAAAACTTATATTATTAGGAGACTTTAACGCAAAAAACCCCAGCTGGGGGGGACAGAGATTAGACCAGAGAGGAGAGGAATTAGCAGACCTATATATAAGCTTAGAATTAGTGTGGATCAATGACAGAAACTCGTCCCCAACTTTCGCCTCACCAAACGGCGAAAGTTGGATTGATCTAACTATTGTAAATGGACACACATTAGGATACATTTCGGATTGGGAGGTTTTGGACACTCCTTCAGGCAGCGACCACAGCTACATCAAAATTACAGCTTTTGGAAACAGGTGCCCAGTCAAAAGACTAACAAAAACAGGCGAGATAAAGGTTATAGACAAATTAATAAAAGACCGCTGGCTTAGGGACATGTCAAGCAGACCTCTCGTTTCCAAAAATCATTTAGAGCATGTAATTAGAACATTTTATGACAAAATTGAAGAACTTACGGAAATATATTCCAAGGTAGTTACCTATCGAGCAAATGAAGTTAAATGGTGGACCCCACAACTTTCTATTGGACGTAAAAAAATTCGGGCGCTTCGGCGCAGATATCAAAATTGCAAAAATAACAATAGAGATCAATTTAAGAAATCCTATTATGAAGCGCACAAAGATTATAAAACCAACATAAAGGATGCAAAGCAGAGCTCTTTTAAAGAGTTCTGCGGTGTCATCCATGGCAATAATGTTTTTACCCTCCCATATAAGATAGCACTTAACAAACTTAAACGCCCGGTAGTGCTTTGTCCTCTCGTGTTACCAGATGGAGTTCGGACGAGAAGTCTGGCAGAGACAGTACGTTTTATCCTAACAACACTATTCGAGGAAGATGACCCTAACAGCGACTCGGCACATGAGACCAACGTGCGTCTCATGTCACTCGAAGATATCACTACAATCAATGACATTCCCTTCACTTCGGCAGAGGTAGATGCCGTTTTGGCTAAATTGAAATTAACAACTGCACCAGGAATTGATAACATTAAAACCTTTTTTCTGAGAACAATCTACAACAACTTTAAGGAACTCATTCTTAAAATTTTCAACGCGTGTCTGGAATTTGGTTATTTCCCCGATGAATGGAAAGAAGGAAAAATAATACTACTCAAAAAGACAGATAGGGTTGACAGTCCCTCCGGATATAGACCGATCTGTCTGAACTCCATCTTTGGTAAAGTATTAGAAAAATTAATTAACAATAGGCTGTACCATTTCTTACACTCTAAAAAACTACTTCATGAAAACCAATTTGGCTTTACCCACAGAAAGTCTGCAGTAAGCGCGTTATACAAAATTAAAACTAAGCTGGAGGACGTCAAGAGGGAAGGGGGCAATCTTGGTGTCTCTGGACATCAAGGGAGCCTTCAACTCGCTCTGGGCCCCAGTAGTAATTAACAAACTAAGAGAAAACAACTGCCCCAGAAATCTCTTCAATTTGGTTCGAGACTTTTTGATAAACCGAAAAATGTCCTACTTAACAAAAAGCGAAAAAATTACTATATCCTCAGTAAAGGGGTGTCCGCAAGGTTCACCCCTCAGTCCACTTCTCTTCAATGTTGTAATTGCGGATCTTCTTCAACAAAGACTCGAAAACAATATAACGATTCAGGCATTTGCTGACGACGTAACCCTAATAGTGACGGGAAAATCACGGAAAGAACTGGAGGACAATTCAAACCGGGCGCTAAACCTCATTAAAGAATGGGGAGATGAAAAAAGGCTAAGCTTTAACCCGGCCAAGTGCGAAGTTCTTCATATTGGAGATCGGTATAAAAAACGAGTACCAACCATTAAATTGGGAGGTCGCAACCTCACTCATGTAAATTCATTAAAAATCCTCGGGGTCGTTTTCGACTCAAAACTGACATTCACGGCACATGCAGAATATCTAAAATCTAAAATAACTCAAAGCACCCAAGCCCTCGACATGTTTTCCGGGGTCAACTGGGGCATCAAGGGGACACAATTCAGAGACATTTATATCAGAGGAATAGAAGGAGCAATTACGTACGCCGCCCCCGTATAGTGGAAAAATACAAACAATTCGCACTTGGCCAGAAAGCTACAGTCTGTACAAAGAACGCCGCTTTTGAAAATAACTAAAGCATACCGCACCGTTAGCAATATCAACCTTAATATTCTCTCAAACATTATGCCAATAGCACTAACACTCGACAAAGAAGCCGCGTCATTTCACTTGTTTCAGAGAAACAGTGACCACACTATACTTGGGACGACCTGGGAGACGGAAAAAATCCAAAAACTGTTAGATCCCTGGGATACGCACCCAGCAGAAAAACCAGCTGTATCATTCTTTAAAAAAGCGCCTAGCACTGCTCAACTTAACATTTTCACCGATGGATCTGTCTGTAACCAGACAGTAGGAGCAGCATCGGAAAAATCAAATAAGAAAGCAATGTACAAATTAGGAAAGCACGCAACGATATATGATGCCGAAATGATTGCAATTCTGAAAAGTCTGGAATACGTATCAACTTTTAAAAACAGTACAACCATTAACCTATTCACGGATAGCTTATCCACACTGCAGGCCCTAGCTAACCCCCACAATAATCATCCAGTAATTCAACTCATAAAAAATACCATTAAAACAATTCGAACAATGCATAGTATAAATCTAATGCATGTGAAAGGCCATACTGGGGTGGAGGGAAACGAATTGGCAGATAAACTAGCAAATAAAGCGCGAACTCATGGAGAACCGGTAGCGTTACCCATGGGGAAAAACTATGTCAAAAAAGAAATCAAAATTCAACTCTTTAAAGAATGGGATCAGCGATGGATAGAGGAGGGGCAAAACTCCGAATTGAGTACATGGATCCCTAGTATACACGATATACAAGACAATTTTCCAGCAAACTTTTACGTCTCACAGGTCGTCACCAATCATGGCAGGCTGCCTTATTACCTCTATAGAGTGAAACTGTCTCCCGACCAAAACTGCTTCTGCGGGAGGCAGTGCGTTAATTTCCTACACTATCTTAATGAATGCCCGTTACTAAAACCTCTCGCGGAACAAGTGTACAATTTATTGCCCGGCAAAGTGACCACTGTCACGGATAAAGATAAAATTAACATTCTAAAAAACCAAAAAATTCTTAAACTAATTGGAGAAATGTTAAATCTCATTGGGGCAAAATTAGGCACATTAGAACGAAGAGGGCTAACATAACAAAAAAGTGATTGCCTGTCGGAAAAAGCGGGTACAGTGCAATAATCGGTGAGCGTCCCCGCCCGCACCACAGGTGCAAAGTGCTCTGCACCTTCCGACACGCAACACGTGCCCAGGCGCTTCCTGGCGCACAGGGAAGAGGGAAGGGATGGGAGGGATGGGGGAAGGGAACTCACAAACACACAGACACACTCACTTGCACAACAACAGGAAGGTGAAACCCGGGAATACTCCCCCATGCAGCGGTGCCCCCGCCCACGCTACCCTCCAAAACCCCGTACTGATGGGTAAGGTACGGGGAAGGGGTGAGGCAACGGTGAATAGCCCCTCACCATGGAGTGGAGGTACTCGAGCTCCAGCACATTGGCAACCCAATGCCAAGAGCAGGGCCATCTGGGGAGGTTCGCGGCCACCTTCAAACATTAACTGCAACAGACCAGGTAGTGTTGGGGGCCCTAGGGGTTCCCGCGCTCGGGGTGCGGGCTGGGCCCGCGGTTTGCCGCTGTCTTCTCCGGCCAGATGGGGCTGTCATTAAGACATGCAGTGCCCGCTGCGGCTCCTTGGCCACAAGGGGCGAGCAGCGGGCACCTCGGGGGCCGTGAGGCAGCGGTGGGACGTGGGTCGGGTGCGCGCCGGGGGCGCGGGGATTTCTGTGGCCCTCTCTGGCACTCCCACATAACATAAAATACGATACCAAGTAGCATACACCACAACAGCAATGGCGACGTGGCGCGAGTACAGGCGTAAGCGGCGCCCCCGCAGATGGGCGTTCAGGTGGGCCCGCCCCTTCAGCAGATGGGTGGAGGGGAGGGGCCCACTGGACGCGGCTCAAAGCTCGGGAAGAGCAGGGCCGCTTGTCTCGGCCCGGGAACCATTTACATAAACTAGTATAATGGGGACACCTACAAATAACACGAATGTATACGCACAACCAAACATAAGACTGCCGCATACACTGCCCCCAAGGCCTCGGTCGATGATAGCGGTGCCCCCGCCGGACCCGCTCCACAGCCACAGCCCAGGCAGCCTGCTGGGGCGTAGAGGCCGGGAAACCGGCCTCTCTGATCTAGCAGGTGTGAGGCCAGGGGGACAAAGCCCCGACCCTGTGCTCTGGAAGTTCCCTCCCCTTGTGGAGAGAGTGACGAGGGGGGGACGACCAGAGTTACGGCCGAGGGACAGGGCCATATGCCGGGACCATGGGGGCCTGCAGTCAAAAGACAAAGGGAGGACAGGGAAAGAGGGAGTAGGAACACAAAAAGGGGAGAGGAGGGGGAGACTAATGAAGGCCTTTCTTTTCAGCACCCTCGCGATCCCCACCCGAAGACAGACAGCAACCCCGATTCGACCATAAAATTGTTTATTCCTCAAGAAGCCTGTAATCAAGAACCAACTACCGCCGACCATCATCCAGCAAGCCGTCCAGATCCATAATTCGACCATAGAACTGTTAAAACATCAAGCATCATGTAAAAAGAACTTTCAACAACCATCGTCAACTAGCCCGAAACGCCACTCAAGAGAAGTCATCAGAGAAGAACTGGGGGGGAGGGAGATACATTTTAGTAATTGTTTAGTCCAGGAAGTATCATGTGAAAGGGGGAGGGATTTTAGAAAAGGCTTTCATTAGTGTGTACATTGATATGTATATATTTTTCTTTATATCTTTCACATATTTCACTTAAATGTTACGTATTTTTATGTTTTTACCCGATATATGTATGTTTGCAATTTTTTTTTCCTTTTTTTATATTTTTGCCTTATATTGGGTGTGTATGGTTTTGTGTGTATGTATGTATGTGTGTATGTACATGTCTATGTATATATACATATATATATATACTTTTTTCTTTATGCAATTTAGTCTAAGAACACTATTTCATTTTTACTATTTTTCTGTAAAGTGATAGCATGCTCACTATTTTACTCTTCATCATATTTAACCAATATATATAGGCTTTTTTCATTCTGTACAGCGGGTGCATGCGCGCTTCTCTTCTGGAAAAAATTTGAAAAAGAAATTTTTTTTTTTCTAGTTTTCAATAAACGTCGCTGATGGACTGGGCAGGTGCCCTTGGCTGTGGTTGTGCTAAAACAGTAGATCCCGGGGGGGGGGGGGGGGGGGTGGGGTTTTTTAAGTAATTTTTTATATTAGGATGCCTGCTATACCTTTGTGGTGCGGGCAGAGGAGCAATTTTATATTTATTTTTTCTTGACTTAATTTCCCTTTTCTTTTAAGTCTCCTCTATATATTTTGTCCCTAGCTACTGTTTTAGCGCAACCACAGCCAAGGGCACTTGGGCCGGTGCCCTTGGCTGTGGTTGCGCTAAAACAGTAGATCCCGGGGGGGTGAGGTTTTTTAAGTAATTTTTTATATTAGGATGCCTGCTATACCTTTGTGGTGCGGGCAGAGGAGCAATTTTATATTTATTTTTTCTTGACTTAATTTCCCTTTTCTTTTAAGTCTCCTCTATATATTTTGTCCCTAGCTACTGTTTTAGCGCAACCACAGCCAAGGGCACTTGGGCCGGTGCCCTTGGCTGTGGTTGCGCTAAAACAGTAGATCCCGGGGGGGTGAGGTTTTTTAAGTAATTTTTTTATATTTTGATGCCTGCTATACCTTTGTGGTGCGGGCAGAGGAGCAATTTTATTTTTATTTTTCTTGACTTAATTTCTCTTTTCTTTTAAGTCTCCTCTATATATTTTGTCCCTATCTACTGGGGAGGAAGAAGACTACGAGGACCTACGAGACCTTCCAGCGGTGAGCTCTGTATCGTTCCCTTCATTTTTTCCACTTTTAGCGCATCTTGAGATTAATGCTTAGTGTCATTTAAAAGCCCTAAGCATAGCGATCACGCCGATGCCAGATTTGTAACATTTCGTCCATTTAATCCGCTAAAAATTCAGTCTGAACAGTTTGTTTACATGCTGGACACATTAAGCTCGGTCGCTATGCTTCCAATCCCTATTTCTAATTACATTTTCGTAATTGTAAGTCAATTTTGGTGTTGTTGGAATCCTTGTTAGTTGCGCTAATAGGATATGGCATTCGTTAGTACCGATCGTGTGTAGTTTTTGCTTAAATTAACGATTTTTCTCAGATAGAACACTTCGAATTGAGACACCAGTAAAGATGTCATTCTTAGCTGTTCAAAGTGCGGGCGCGCGCTGGTGAGCTTGTGATACAGTCGAAAGTAAGCTTTAGCTTTATACGTTCATTTTAGACACCAGTATATAATATGAAGTCTTTGCTGAGCTAATTAGAACGTTTCAAACGTGTTTTGATCAGCGCGAAATTCCTTCAGTTTGAATTTAGAAAATAAGTCCGCTGGTAGACTTTTGTACTTTCGCGGCTTGCGTCTCCTAGGGGGGGCAGCCGTGAAATGGCATCTCCTGTGAGAGCCGATGAAGAAGAGCCAGGTGGGCCGGCGCGGGACGCTCCGGCGGGGGTAAAGTCGTTTAGTGATGAAGTCTGTGACATTCAAGTGAAGCTAATATTAATAATCAATGATGAAAAATCTAGAATTAACAAAGAGACCGGAGCTCAAATTTTGCAATACATTGCTAAGCTAACTAGTATTTCAACTAAACAAGAGATCGAGAATGCAGCCCTGCGGGCTCGGCTGGCGGAAAGGGAGAGGGTGCCCACCTTTGCTGAGGTGGCGCGGGGGGAGCCGGTTGCGGCGGCGGCGCCTCCTCCCGCTCCTGCGGCCTATGTGGTTGGCGGGGCGGGGGTGGTGCAGTGCCTGCGGTGCCGCCTGCTCGTCAAAGGCACGCACTCCTCATTTATCTTGCTAACCCGACTCCCACGCCATCCAATGACATTAAGATCATGCTTAAAAAGTACTTTGAGCCGCAGAGGATTGGCCTGGGGGAAGTTGTAATGAAAGAGATCCGGAACGGAGTTGCGATCCAGTCGCAGTCGCTTGCGAGCCTGCAGCGTCTGGCTGACGCGATTGAGGAACATCCTCACACCAAGGATGCTTTCGTGCTGCGTCAGCCAGCCAAGCGCAGGCCGCAATTTCGGGTATCGGGAGTTGATCCCGATATCTTGCCGGCTGAATTTCTCGCAACTCTGAGGGCGCAGAACCCAGAAGTTCAATTGGAACCTAATGAATTCTTTCTTCGAACATCCTTCAAAGAAAAGTCAGGAAACTCTACATTTATATTTGACGTGACACCTGAGGGCTACAAAAAACTCGAGGGCAAAAATAAAGTTAATCTTGGGTGGACATCATGTTTAATTCATGAAAATTTCTATGTCTCCAAATGCCAGAAGTGTGCTCAATACGGACACACGAAGAAGTACTGTGAGTCGGAGAGTGAGATGTGTCCGCTGTGTGCTGGAACACACACCGCCGGACAGTGCCAGATCACTGAGGGAGGTGCGATGAGATGTCGGGCATGTGCAGCGCGCCGTGTTGACGCGCGCCACGCATTCGGCAACGTCAGTTGTGGTACACTGGCGTTGCTGGTGGCGCGTCTTAAAGGCCGTACCGACTATCCATTGTAGATCACACCTCCCCATGCTGATGCGTCTTCTTGTAAATAGTTGTAAATATGGTATTGTATATAGTTGTAAATATGGATGTTTCAGTTTTGGTAAGATATTACTACATGGGCGGTGGCATGTCCGCATTGGGGATGGTGTCAGGGTACCTTAATGTTAACAAGGCTTGAATTTTTACAAATTAATTTAGGTAGATCAAAGGCTGCCTCCAATCTACTTGAACAAATGTGTAATGAAGTAAACCCAAATATTGTTTGTATCCAGGAGCCGTATTTGGTGAACCAGAAAGTAGTTGGTATTCCATTAAAATATGTAGTCGTTGCTTCTAATTTAGCAAAGTGTGCTGTAATAGTGAGAGATAACACATGTACAATATTTCCTATACTAGTAACCCCAAACATAGTTGCTATAAAGTGCTCATATCAGGACAAGGTATTTCTAATTATTAATACTTATATTCCTCCTTTCTCCGACTTTGATGTAGTTTTAATGGAAATAGATGGTCTGCTAAGATTACATAGAAATAATCCTATTATAATGACTGGGGACTTTAATGCAAAAAATACATTGTGGGGAGGCAATATTACAGATGATAGGGGGAACAACTAAGTGAATTATTTTTGTTACACAATATATTTGTTGTTAATGATAAACATACAGAGGCTACTTTTGAAACAGTGAATGGATCTAGTTGGATAGATCTTTCGCTGACATCGGGGGAACTTGTCTCTCAAATAACACACTGGGAAGTATCAGATAAAGATTCTCTAAGCGATCATAAATACATCTCTTTTGGTTTCTTTGGTACAGTTGCACCAAAGATTAGAGAACTAACAGCGAGGGGTCTATCAAAACTTTATGAGATTATAAGAAATGATGTTTGGCTATATAATACAATTTTTCCTTTCTCCTCTGCTAAAGAAATAGAGCAAACTGTAACTCTTTTTTATGTCCGTTTCGAACGCTGGTTAAAGATATGTGAAAAGAATGTTAAAGTTTTCGGTCATGCGACCCCTTGGTGGTCAGAAGATCTACACTATAAAAGACAAAAAGTAAATGCTCTTAGAAGAAGATATCAACGCTGTTATAATTCAGAAACTAGAATAAATGTCAATATTTAGACTACAGGAAAGAATATAAAGATATGATAGAAATTCCAAAAATAACTTCTTGGCAAGGGTTCTGTTACCAAGCCACAAAAGCGTCTCTATTTGGCATTCCATATAAGCTTGCTTTTAAGAAATTCAAAATGCAAACTGCAATACCTCCAGTATGTTTACAAAATAACTTGTATAATGATTCACATGTTGAATCTGTAAAATATATTTTAGACTCTTTATATCATCTAGATGATACAACAACCGACACCTTACTCTTAAGTAACTTGAGAAATAGTATAACAATTCCTAATTTAAATCCTCCTGATCTAGAATTTACCTTTCAAGAAATAGATACAGTAATATCAACTCTTCGAACTGGAACGGCTCCTGGTGCAGATAGACTTACGGTTCCAATGGTCAAACAGCTATGGAATTACCACTATACATTTATGCACATAATGTTCAATTCTTGTCTTCAAGAAGGCTATTTTCCCAAAGTTTGGAAAATAGGAAAAGTTGTTTTGTTGCATAAACCTGGGCGTCCAACCAATGAAGCTTCTTCTTATCGTCCAATATGCCTGAACTCTATCTTTGGAAAAGTGTTGGAAAGGCTCCTGTATTCAAGGATATATTATTTTATATCAACAAATAATTTACTCCACCCACATCAGTTTGGATTTACTCATAATAAGTCTTCAACCCTAGCACTTTATAATTTAGTTTCACATCTTCAAACTTTGAACAGTAATGGTAGAATATCCTTGTTAATTTCCTTAGATTTTTCTGGGGCGTTTGACCCTCTATGTTATCCGTTTGTTCTGCATTTTCTGCAAATGCATCAATGTCCATGTAATTTATATAATCTTCTTTACTCTTTCTTTAAGAACAGAATAGTCAGTTATATTACACAGGATAAGCATCAAATTAATAAAGATGTCTCAGTAGGTTGTCCACAGGGTTCTCCTTTAAGTCCTCTACTCTGGAATATATTAATCAGTGACTTATTAAATATTACTTTTCATCCATACGTGCACATGCAGGCATTTGCGGACGATGTTATTCTCGTAATTGACGGTTTATCCCGTCGAGAAATTGAGACTCGCGCAGATACTACCCTTAAGCTATTACACAGATGGGCCCAGGATAGGAAACTTAATTTTAACTATGATAAATGCTTTTGTATATTGATAGCTCAAGGAACAAAATATCTTAAACGTAATCCAATAATTAAATTTAATCAAAATAAACTAAAGATAAAACCTGAAATAAAAATTCTAGGTGTGGTTTTCGATTCCCATCTATCATTTCTTCCTCATGTTACGTATCTCAAAAAGAAAGTCTTAGAACATACAGTGAACCTTGCACGCTTTTCTGCATGTAATTGGGGCACTAACCCTACACAATTTCGAGAAATATATTTAAAATCAATAGAGAGATACATAGTATATGGTGCTC